AAAAAACCCACAACCAAACAAAAAAAAACCCCGAACCAAACCACGACGCAAGGAGGAACTGCCCCAGGACTGCAGGTCGCAGGGTGAGACGTGGAGGTTGTAGGTTTGCACTTTCCCAGTAACCAGCAGTATTGCTAGTGGTGTCTCAGACCTGGGGAGCCTCATGAACAGGAGTGTAAATTTCCAAAGCCATACATCGTTGTTTAAAGAAGGAAGGTAAAGGTTTAAGTGTTTTCTGTGGTAAGACAAGAAGTAGTAGTGATAATGGCAGCAGGAAAGAGGGTGGGTTAAACATCAGAAAATAGTTTTAAAGAGTAAGGATGTGTTCACTTTGAAATACTTTATGTAGGCAATGAATTCTCCGTGCCTCAAGGCTTCATTAGAGGAGCACATCTCAGGATATTCTACACAACCAGTCTGCTCTTGAGCAGTCTGCTCTAACAAAAAGTATAAGAGCTGTGTGAGACAGGTTATGAGAAAGTCAAGCTATAAAAATATCAGTGTAATGTAGAAAATGTCAGTGGTGCTATTGACTGTAAAGCAAAGGAATCACAGAGCAAATGTTAAGTCCATGCTGTGAAATACCTTGTGGATTTGGCTTAAACTACTTTCCCCTTAAAACAACTATGGGGAGCCTGCATAGAGTGTTTAAAGCTGTGATGTAGGTAATTCTGATACGATTAATGAGTGATTTATTTGGGGGCTAAGAATGGTCTGGGTGATTCCTCAAGATCCCAGGTAAAATACCTCTTTTCTGTGAGCCTGTTGAAAACGAGCAGGCTTTTACATAGACTAAGGAACAGCTGCAGGGGGCTGTTAATGCTCTGGAGTATCTAATTACTGTGACTAATTTAAGTTCTGTTTCAAATTTTTTTCTGGTATTCTTGATTTTATATCCGTCTGTAGCATAAACTGATACACAATATCGTCTGGATGCAGAGTGTTTTGTTCTTGCCTGAAAATTATTGGGAGTGAGGGAGAATTCTGTCTTAAATTAACTTGATTCTGATCTGTAACAGCAATTTACTATTCCAGCAGAACAGCTATCCTTAAGTCATGCAGCAAGAACTGTATTAGTGACTTAAGACTGAAAGTAGATTTACTGAGTTATCCAATCCTGACCTCTGCTTTTGCAGGTAACTCTTCATTCACTCATGCTTGAATCTGTTATCTTCTGATAAGTCTTATTTTAGGGCTCTTTCAGGTATAGTAAGTAAAGTTGTGCTGTGATGGAAACCAGTTTGGTTAAAATGTTCACCTCTCATGATAGGGCCTGAGGTTCTTGAGCATTACTTGGAAGGTTACTTTTAAAAGAAATATTAAAATGTAAAAGAATATAAATCTATGCCAAGCAAAGTAACATGCTGAAAACACCCCTTTAAAAAAAATTGTTCAACATTCACACTTCTCTCCCTCCCAAAAACCCAAAGTAAGTGGTGACACCCTGATGAGATATTTTTTTTTAAGAAGGTAGAATTCATCTTTAACACAGGAACGGAAATAAGGTTATTGGAAGAGTGCAGAGGGGTTTTTTTTGAGAAATCATTCAACGTGGAAGCTGTTCAGCTTTCATTAAAAATTTCAGCAAGCAGGTAGGTAACAAGCGTGGTGGTAATTCCCCTCATTTCAGTTCTCCTCTTTTGCTTTTTTCCCCTTAGGACCTGATGAGCACAGCGTCAAGAACCATAGGTTTTTTTTTCCTTTGCTAAAGGCATAAATCACAAATCTGCCTACTGTATTAAATGTGGTTTTCTTTTATGCTTTCAGAGTTTGGAGCCTCTTCCAATGGGTGGGCCTGACTTTGGTGCCTTGGGAGAGGAAGCTGAACTGGTTGAAGTTGAACCTGAGGCCAAGCAGGAAATTCTTGAAAACAAAGATGTCAGTACCTGAACAACAGCCTGATGTTTTTTTCTTAAGAGTAATGTCTTGGCACCCTTGCTTGGTTCTTTTTCCTCAGGGAACTTTCTAAACTGTGGTTTCAGATGTGAAAGAATTAGATTTAGTGCTGTGAATTTAATCTGGTGTTGTCTAGTTTGTGTCCTTTTTTTTTTTTCCCTACCACAGGAGTTGTTATTAAAATTCAGCTTTGAGCTAATAGACCTGTTTCCAGGTGCTACTTTCCCCTCTCTCGTAAGAGATTGCCGTTTGCTGCAAGAAGCAAACCAAGCAACTGTCCTTAATCTGCTAGAGTGCAGTATTAGCTAGGTTAAACTGCCACGGCATGAATTATGTTGCTAAGGGAAATACTAGCTTCAGCAGAGGATGGTAACTTATTTTTAAAAAAAATATTTCACGCGTAAGAGCATGTCTGTCTTGGCCCAGACATGTTTAGCCATGTTAAAGGCTTCCTTTCCCTTATGCTGTTCAGAGTCATCCTCACTACAAGCTTGGTAATAACATTTGTTTTTTATTTAGTTCATGATGTATATATTCTGATAGGATTTTTTAATGCAATTTGCAGTAATGCTAGGGGTTTTTTGACACTTTTTTGGTCGCTTTTGACAGTGACAACTTTTTTTGGACACTTAATCCTAAAATTATAATACACTGAAAAGGTTGGAAAAATAAGGGAAATGCAATCGCTGTAGTCCATTTGTAGTGGCTAACCTGGAGTGTGTTTGCTCTGATTTTTAAGATAAAATTGTCTCAGATGATTGTATATCAAGATGAATGATTTCAAGAAAATATAAAACCTCACGACGCTAGTGGTGGCAAGATGCATTTTAAACTACAATGCTCCAGTGGTTGTAATAATTTTAATAGTTAGAGTTTAAATATTATGGCTTGTGGGTTGGTTTTCTCTTTTAACTCTTTGCTTATGTGTAGCTGATACTAGAAATAGCTAACCACAGCTAACTACATGTTTTATCTCGCATGTCTTAATGTCTCAGTGCATATATTCTGCAGTGACTTATTTGTCCATACAACACTTAGGACAAAAATCCCAGCAGCTACAGTCTGTTACTGTCTCTTCTGCTACAACTAGTGTTAGCTTTGGTGTTACAGTTGTATTTTCTTTCATTTTCGTGTTAAGGGAACGACTTTCCGGAATTTTGATGACTTTGATGCTCATTACTACATGGAAATTCAGTATTTGTGTTGAACCATCTGTTCTGTTTAGGTGGTGGTTCAGCATGTGCACTTTGATGGACTTGGAAGGACCAAAGATGACATTATCATGTATGAAATCGCTGATGTTTTCAAGGCTAAAAATCTCATTGATGTAAGTACTGTAGTGAATATCAGACCTACTGTTTAAAAATTCGGGTTACGATTTTTTCCTCTTTTTCCCTGCTTTGGGCTCCTCCCTTCAGACATGGGGCAACTTTGTAAGTTTTGTGATGACTTTAAACTTGTGAAAGGAAGCCAAACTTAAATAGGAAATACTGGAAGGTACTGTATTTTCTGATGTGTTCAGCTCAAAGGTGTTGTGAGATGAGAAGCCGTACTCTCAGATATTTTTTCAGCTTCCTTCTTCCCATTTGAAAATTGCTAACTGTGTAGGTGACACTTTCAGTTAATTTGCTTAAGATAAGTTATTTGATCTCAGCACAGATAACTGATGCCAGTGTCCACAACGGATCACAGTGTGAGTTAGGCTGTGTGTCCTTGTCCTTTTAGGTGGTGATTCCTTCTGGAGTATGGCTGGCAATTAGACCTGTAAATTGGTCTAAATTCAAACAGATGAGGGTGTTTAGGTTTTTTGTTAAAAGCATGGGCCCCATGAATAGATGTATAAGTTTTAAGTGCTGAAGCCTATTTGAATAATAGGTCTAAGTATTAGGATGCAAACTAGGAGAAGGTAGGAATTGAGCTGGATGCTCTGGGTTTAATGTATTTCTTTACATATTAAAGTGTTAAAGCGGTTGAAGGCCCATATGTGTGTCTTTGTATACAAAATCTGTGAATATTGTATGATTTAGCCGCATTTTATCTATTTTATCCTAGTTATATTTTGATAACCAGAAAGACTGAGCTACTTATCTCATCCTGTAGGTGATGAGAAAATCGCATGAAGCTCGTGAAAAGTTGCTTCGTCTAGGAATCTTCAGACAGGTAGAGGTTCTGATTGATACCTGTCAAGGTAGGTATTGCCTCATTAATCCTCACCTTGTTCCTCATGCACCCATAGCACATGCATACCTATAATGTATATTTTCCTGTGTAATAGGTTGGACTTTTTTGTGTGTATAACTACTGTCTCATACACCTTCATTGTATTCTAGATATACATGTAGGTGTGATATATATAGGAAGGTATGTGTTGATATGCATTACCCATATGCAAAAGACGTATTTGCATTTGTCTATATATGTGTATGTAAATATTACTTGTATGCGTGGAAAAATGAGTGAATTTCCAGCACTAAAAAAAATACAGTACGCATCCCTTAATCCAAAGTTTCAGAGGAACACTTGAGGAAAAGCTTGAAAATGTGTCCTGTGCTTCCATGTATTACACATCCCATAACTGACATTATATCAGCTCATCCTTGGTGCTTAAGGAAATACTAGTAGTTCTGTCAGTGCTTGTGATTAAAAATTGGCTTATAGGATATATGGGGCAGGTGGATGTGTGCGGGTTTCACGGTAAGGCTCAGCT